CTGCATAGTATAGCTCTGTTCCAAAACCTAGTGAGCTGCCTACCTAGACAGCGTTTTATATAATTATACACTAATCAGGCATAACATTATGACCAGTGACAGGTGAAGTGAATAACACTGATTATCTCTTCATCACGGCACCTGTTAGTGGGTGGGATATATTAGGCAGCAATTGAATATTTTGTCCTTAAAGTTGATGTGTTAGAAGCAGGAAAAATGGGCAAGCGTAAGGATTTGAGCGAGTTTGACTAGGGCCAAATTGTGAAGGCTAGATGACTGGGTCAGAGCATCTCCAAAACTGCAGCTCTTGTGGAGTGTTCCCGGTCTGCAGTGGTCAGTATCTATCAAAAGTGGTCCAAGAAAGGAACAGTGGTGAACTGGAGACAGGATCATGGGTGGCCAAGGCTCATTAGGTACGTTCGACTTCATGCAGCACTGCGCAGATCGATCGCAATCTGACTTGAAGCAGTGCATGCCGGTTAGTAATTTTGTCCGACTTGAGACGGCGCCGACGCCACGTCACTGTCACGTGTGGCATCAAAGCACCGCGAGAGCGTTTCGAGAGCAGCCGGCTGACTCAGCCGGCGCAGTTTCTCCAGAGCGGCTGCAGGAGCGTTGATGACGACACAGCCGTTTCACGATTGGCCAGATTCACCGCATGACAACTATCACGTGTGTTTCGGGTTTATTCTAACCTTTTCAATTCCAATAATAGCCACAAATCTGTTTTTAGAACAGTAAAAGCTTTTTTACTGTAGTCGCAATGTTATATTGAGTCACGTTTATCATAAAACACTGATGAAAGCATATATGCCCTCACTTTATTAGTATTTAAATGGTATATATTTACGTTGAACTTTATTCTTGAACAGATGGCGATGTATTAAGACGTAGTCCTATATAATCAGTATATATCTGTTGCTCATGAAAACGTTTCTGAAACGTCTGTATATTTGACAAATAATTGCATTTAATTCACTTCATCTGTGATAGAGTATGCAAACACAGCGCAAGCGTCACTAACGGGAGCAGAACGTGTCCAGCTTGACGACTCCGTTTTCAACTCCGCCCCCGACTGCAAGCGGCTACTCTTGTGGACTGCCATCTGTAGCCGTGCTTCAAGTCGAACGCACCTATTGATGCACGTGGGGAGTGAAGGCTGGCCCGCGTGGTCTGATCCAACAGACAAGCTACTATAGCTCAAATTCCTCAAGAAGTTAATGCTGGTTCTGATGGAAAGGTGTCAGAATACACAGTTCATCACAGTTTGTTGTGTACGGGGCTGCATAACCGCAGACCAGTCAGGGTGCCCATGCTGACCCCTGTACACCGCCGAAAGCGCCAACAGTGGGCATGACTTCAGAACTGGACTGCATAACAATGGAAGAATGTGGTGTGGTCTGATGTATCACATTTTCTTTTACATCACGACGGCTGGGTGCATGTGCGTCACTTACCTGGGGATCACATGGCACCAGGATGCAATATGGGAAGAAGGCGAGCCGGCGGAGGAAGTGTGATGCTTTGGGCAATGTTCTGCTGGGAAACCTTGGGTCCTACCATCCATGTGGATGTTATTTTGGCATGTACCAACTACCTAAGCTTTGTTGCAGACCATGTACACCCTTTCATGGAAACCGTATTCCCTGGTGGCTGTGGTCTCTTCCAGCAGGATAATGCAATTGGTCAGGGCTGTTTTGTCAGCAAAAGGGGGGGGGGCAACACAATATTAGGAAGGTGGTCATGATGTTATGCCTGATCGGAGTATATATTTAATAGCTTTATAAAGAAGTCTTTTGTCACCAAGGCTGCATTTATTTGATAAAAAAATATATAGTAAAAACCGTAATATTGTGAAATATTATTACAATTTTAAATAACTTTTTGCTATTTTATATATTGCTGTGATGACAGCTGAATTTTCAGCAATCATTACTCTACTCTTCAGAGTCAAATGATCCTTCAGAAATCATTATAATATGATGATTTGTGAAACATTATTATCGATTTTAAAAACCGTTGTGCTGCTTAATATTTTTCTTTTTTTCCCCCTAGGATTCTTTGATTTAATTGAAAGTTTAAAAAGAACAGCATTTATTTGAAATGGACATATTTTGTAACATTACAAATGTCTTTACTGTCACATTTGATCAGTTTAATGCATTCTTGCTCAATAAAAGTATTAATTTCTTAAAAAGTGAATATATGTATATGATGCTACTGGGTATAGTATATAAAGTTGTATATAAATCTCACACTTATTACACCTTCCTTTTCCAGAGAGTGAATGGACCATTAGACCATGACATATACAACCTTTAAGATTGAACTATTATATCTTAAAAGGAAGAGGAAAAGTAGAGCTGTGAATTAATGCACACACACATTCAGGTACACATATGCCTGCCTGTGTTCCCATGCACATCCACTCACTGTCACCGAGACACTGTTTGGTTCGGTGTTTGGAGGATCTGCGTTTGATGTTGAAAACACACCACCTGCACACACGCAAAGTAATGGCACTTTCCTGTGGCGTTATCGATCTGACAGCTTGACCCGAGGATCCACAGGAGGCTCCGGAGAATACTGGAGAGAGAGAGAGAGAGAGAGAGAGAATGAGAGACAAACAGATAGACAGCCAGGAAAACAGAGAGAGAGCAGGAGAGATAGACACTGAGCAAATTGGCAATGACTGATAAAAAATTTAAGCTTGAAACGAAAGTGAACGATTAGTCAAAACAGACAGCAATAAACACTTATTCTCAGAACCAGACCAATAAAAACACGCAGACACACAGATGTCTCTGAGCTGCGTTTGTAGGGGGAGTGATTGTCTTAATTAAAGCTGTGATATGAAATAGCTTCCTCCTCCTAGACTCATGTCACCTCGCAATGAGATTACACGTGTTATTGCATTGTAGAGCTACAGTCTTTTGGGGCTGTAAGGAGAATGAGAGACTGATTCTGAGAGAGGACAAGAAAACAGACAAGGAAAGGAGGAAACAACGAGATGGAGAGTGAGATTTCTCTTCAGGCCCTCTCACATGGCTCACGTCAGTGTTGCCTGATGCATTAAACTCTATGGATTGAATGCACACAAATGACTCTTTTCATTCATGTATATTTACTGTATTGTTTCCAAAGAATCCTGTGAATTCTGTTATTGAACATTTAAATGAACCAACAATTTTTCTTGCTACAATCCCATGCACACTTCCTGCTTTTTGCTATATATAAACCATCATAAAAATCACGCTTCTGTGACACCTTTATGCCGAGGGCAAATAAGCACATAACACTTAAAATCGCTATAAAATGAAAATTGCAACCAAATTGTCTTTGCTGTTGTGACATATATATTCAAATGAAATGGCTTTTCAAACAAGAAAAAAAAATGTGGGGTGGAACTTGATTTTGTGTTTTGGGAATTGATTGGATTATAGAAAGTGGGTGATGCAAACTGAATAGATGAATGTTTTATGTGAGTGGCTGCTTGAGGAAAAGGGTTGAAACTCATTTGGCCATTGGACAACATTTATTACACAGTTCTCGAACCGGAGCGCATGCCATTAGAAAAAAGATGTTGAGACAGTGTGGATATGTTATGTTTTTAATTAAAGATTATGAGGGCACTTTAAAAATTTTTTTTAATATAATAAAATTTCCATAAAATAGTCATGGTCCTGATGGAAGTCATGTATTTAATGAAAATATGGAATCATGGGATCGACTAACAAATCAAGAATTTACAAGAACAAGAAAACATCAGTTCAGACCTTGCATGCAGAACAGTCACAAGTAAGATTTATACCACATTACTTTTTTATATGTTCTGACTTTTTTGATTGATGCGTAGTTTGCAAATACAGTTTTGGCAGAATACATGGCTACTTTGTCAATGGACAATCGTGTTTTTGCTCATATTGGGAAGCAGAAGAGAACAAGGGGTAAAAGCAACAAAAAGAGAGAATAATAAAGGAAAACAAAACAAACTGCAGCCATTGTGTTCAGCCATGTTATCTTAGAGACAAGATGCATAGAGCTCTTGTAAACATGACAGTACAAACATGCAAACACACACATTCCGTGCATAATTACCACACCTGCTTACTTGATGAAAGATGCACTGCTGAACTCAGTTGCCTCCAATGTGTGCCAACTGGTGTGCCATCCCCAGAATGCACTGCTCTGACATTTTAGCACTCTTCAGAATTTGTCACTGTTTTCATAGTCCCTTTGCACCAAACCAGAACATATTTTTAGCCTCTATGCTGCCTTGTGTGCCTCTCCTGTGTCTCATTTTCAAACCTAGAACAGACAGTTTTTGCTTAGAACTTTAGCGTCTAAGTTTGATTGACACTCTGTCTTTGTTTACTTGTCTGAACACGTTTACACAAAATACTGGAGGGATCTAATATGCATATGCAACTTTAAATGTGTATTTATGAATATTGCTTGACAAAGCCTGTTTAAGCCACAAATTAACTTCTATATACTTTTCTCAAACAGGAAAGGGAGACCTGATTGGATCGGACTCGCTGACAAAAGAGCAGGTAATTACCACACCTGCTTACTTGATGAAAGATGCACATATGGTCTACCACCCATCTCTCCCAGCACTGCTGAACTCAGTTGCCTCCAATGTGTGCCAACTGGTGTGCCATCCCCAGAATGCACTGCTGACATTTTAGCACTCTTCAGAATTTGTCACTGTTTTCATAGTCCCTTTGCACCAAACCAGAACATATTTTTAGCCTCTATGCTGCCTTGTGTGCCTCTCCTGTGTCTCATTTTCAAACCTAGAACAGAAAGTTTTTGCTTAGAACTTTAGCGTCTAAGTTTGATTGACACTCTGTCTTTGTTTACTTGTCTGAACACGTTTACACAAAATACTGGAGGGATCTAATATGCATATGCAACTTTAAATGTGTATTTATGAATATTGCTTGACAAAGCCTGTTTAAGCCACAAATTAACTTCTATATACTTTTCTCAAACAGGAAAGGGAGACCTGATTGGATCGGACTCGCTGACAAAAGAGCAGGTGATCAAGACCAACGCAAACGTGAAAGCACTGACGTATTGTGACCTGCAGTACATCAGCCTAAAGGGACTGCGTGAAGTGCTGCGCCTCTATCCTGAATACGCCCAGAAGTTTGTCAGCGAAATTCAGCACGATCTAACCTATAACCTGCGGGAGGGCAGTGGAGCTGACGTGAGTGATGCTTGCAAGTATACATGATGGTATTCAGGGCAAAGCGTGACAATCCCAGTGTATTACCTTTGATTCTACATCTATGACTGTAAAGGTCAAGCAGTGTGTACATGTGCTTTTTTTAGCCCAAATCATGTGCATGAGGGACTGAGGCAATTAGCACAAATGTACGGGGCAGGACTCAATACATCTCCTAGGATTGGATTATCAATATTGTACGGTTGTGCAGTGGAGCTGATATGAGTCCTATAAATAGTGCATTATTCAAATAGACAAACACGATAATAGTGCCTTCATGAGCATTATGGTTCATATTCTCTGCTGTATCAGTTCTTTTAGATTTTTCTTATACAATTATTTAGTAGATATAAAAATAGAAACATGTTACATACAGTGTACATACATACAGTTTTTGGACAGTTCACCCAAAAATTTAAAATTCTGTAATAATTTACTCCAACCTACAAAATATAAAAGAATACTCTGTACTGGTGTTGTTTAATTACAAAAAAAGATAGGAAAGGAAAAGAAAACTAGACCTGGAACCATGTAAATACTGTTTGAGGCTACTTTCTTCTCCATGACAAGTAGATTAGAAACAGAAAGTTGTGCAGCATTGCTTTGTGTACTGCTGAACATTCGAGGCTGGTGTGAACAGTCACTTTAGAAAAAAGCAAGAAATGTAAATCTGTAACCCTCTACTCCACACCCAGTTGTCCATAGTGAATTGTGCATGTAGAGTTCCGAGTTACTCAATGAATTCATGAGCCGTGATCTACAGACTGGAGGTATGTGTGTGTAACGCTGCACTGCCCACACCCACAAGCAGCAGAATACAAAATGGATCCCCATCTGCTGTCTTTGGCATCTTTCCTTCCTTCTTGCACATTCTTGAAGTCCGTGTCCTTTCCCTGACCTTGATAAAGCCCCTTCCCCCCTCATCTTCAGGATGCACATATATGCCTGTGCATGAGACCCCTCACTTACAAACACACACACACACTCTCCCAGCCTTGAGTGTAACTTGCAAGGACAGGAATAGCAGCAGGCTGCAGTTTGGAGTGTGTGTCGATACTAAGAATAGCACAGAGGGAAGGCGGGGACTCCGTGCTGGCTGGGTCCCCCGCGCCTCGAGCTAAGATTGGATCCTGTAAGATAAAAATAGCACTGAAGTGAGAGGCGTGGGGGTGGGGTGGGGTTGGGGTGGTGCCTCTTTTCTGTCCTTTTCACTTTTTCCTGCAGTGCTGCTTCTGCAAGGTGTCACATGCAGCTTTCACTCTAGCTGGAGAAAGATATTGCTGTGTTTGAGGAGAGAAAGAGGGAGATAAAGTGAGAAAGAGAGGGAAGGAACGAACGATGGCTGGTGGAGTGGCAGGGACATAATATGTCAATATATACAAGATACTGTTGCAGTTTAACCCTACCTCAAATCGAGAGGTTTTCAATCGGATATACAATTTTCTCATAGCATTGTGAAGGGATTTGTTTGACCTAGACCACCCAGAACACCCTATCAGCTGTATAGCAATGCACTCTCAAAACACCTTAGCAACCGCATAGAAATGCCCCGGCAACCAGCAACAATAGCTTGACATCTTGGCAGTAGCTTTTGCATATGCAAGCACTTCATTTCCTTCATTTTCCTAAAAATCAAGTTTGTTTGTGCCATGAGACATAACGGATCAGCATCAATGCTCATTTCACATGTGTGCAACCCCAGAATGCACAGAGAATACCAATGAACGCACACTCACACATACATTTGCACGTAATTGCAGAGCTGGTGAGAATAGAAATGTGATTACTGGGCATTACTATTTGTCTGTGTGTGTTTGTGCACTAGGGCTTTGGAGGAAAAAGGTAATGCATTCTTTCCTCTCTTTCTTGTTATACTTAGCTGTGATTGACTGAATTTGGCGACTCGAGGGAGATGGAAATGCCCGAATAAACACCTCGTTCTCTCTCACTCTCTGGAGGAGGGGAGGGAAAGAAAGTGAAAACTTCTGTAGAAACACCAATTTAAGCATCTTACACACATGCACACACGCTCCCCTCGTGCCACTGGAGTCTGTGTTACTAAGATTGGAAGGAGATGTCTAAAAATAAATTCTGCTTTAGGTGGGGTGTGGGACTGCAGTCGGAGCGTGGGGGTGGAGATCATGAGAGCAACGGGGAAAAAAACAAGATGTGAAGAAAGAGAGAGGCAGGGTGCGGAGAATGGGAGGGGGATTGCAGATAAAGATGGAGAGATTTCAGTCAAATTGAATAGGGGAGAGCAAATGTAGGGATGGGAAGAAAGGGAAGGGGGAGATGTTCATTAAGATTTGCTCAAATTGTTATTATTTTTCAGTCTCTTTCCTTCTTGTTTATGTGATGGAGTTTGTTAGTAATACAGGGATGCGGGCTGTGTGTGTGTTGCCACCCTATAGCGACGGACGGTGATTGACACAGTCTTTTATGTGTTTTGACAAAACAGAAATAAACAGTGCCGCCTCTCTTCTCTGCAACCTCTTCTGTGGTGCCGCAGGATTACACTGCTTGCAGCCATTCTTTTTTTATGACATTCTAAGAACATGCAGTGCTGAGAGTTAACAACGAAGAAATCGAAATCAATTTCAGCTTCTACAAAGAAGAGTGTTTTTGTGTGCAACAATACAATGGAAAGTGCAATGGAAAATATGCAGAAAGTTGAGGTGGAGAAACATGGTAGAAATGAAGAGAGGAACAAGAAAAATCAACAGGCTGTGTTAGTCTGCCACGCACTGGTCATGACTCTTTACTAACCATTTGAATTTTCAGATTTACTTGCTATTGAAGACCAAGAATGGTTTTTATAAATGTAAATTGTTCTTTAATACCTAGATTTGCATTTTTAGAAGGAAGTACTAATGCTTGCAAGGTAGCAGTAGAATAGTGTTAATGTTAGAGGTAACCCTAGGTTCAACAATTCCACAGTTTCACGGCAGTGAAAAGTGATTATAGATGGCTAAATAATGTAAGATCACAAATTAGCTTGCAAATAAATGCAGGTGAGAAGGCCGGTCACTATTCAGTATGCAGATATTGCAGTCAGATTGTTGCCAATTTGAACGTGAACATTTTGTTCAAGACTATGAATGGAGGATTTTCAAACTGTAATAAATGTATATACACTAATGTTCATGTTTTTTGAAAGAAATCTCTTTTATTTGATAAAAAAAATACAGTAATATTGTGAAATATTGTTACAACTTAAAACAACTTTTCTAATCTATCTTAAAATGTCATTTATTTCTGTCACATGATCATTCAATCATACTAATTAAATTTTTTTTTCAAAGTCTATTAAATGTTAAAATGTTAAATTTGAGAGAAAATGCATTTCATAGAGTTCATCTGTAGCAGTATTGGTATCTATGATACTGGCCTTCATTAATAATAGGCTACTAGTAAAAGATTAAACCCATATTAAAAATATACCATCTTTATGTTGTTTCTATTTGGAGATTCGATGTTAGACATTTGGAAATTATGACAGTATAAATATATTATACTAATATGCGATTAATCGCATTTAATTACAGAAAAATTAGATTTTTTTAAAATCGATTGACAGCACCAAGTATAAATATAAATTAGATTTGATTAATTACTTTAATCTTTATTAAAGGGGTCATATGATGCTATTTTAAAGATCATTATTTTGTGTATTTGACGCGTTACTCTGCGCTGCGCAAAACTTTTGAACAGTCAATAGCAAATACTTAAACTGATAACAAAACATCTGTTCCTGTTCCTAATATTTCCACATAGTGACGCAGCTATGTGGGGGCGTGTTAGAATGAGCCGTTTTAGGTAGGCGTGGTTGACTCTTAACTTTTATAAAGAATATCTCTTTGGATTTGGGACTTGTCTTTGCAACTTTACAGATCTTCTTTATGCACCAAGAGCTTGTAACACTTCAA